ATCACACAGGGTCCACTGGACACAGACGGCCCTATCCTAAAGTAGGGTGGGTCTCTGCCATTACACAACAAAGGCAAATTTAATTTCCTCTATAATATTTTATGCACAATAAATGTTTGTTCATGATTAAAGGCAAAGAAAACCCCCGAGAGGCATACAAGAGCCAAAAGCAACAGAAGTAAATGCTATCATGTGCACAATTCTGCAATAACAGTGGAACAGTGATCTATGAGTGGGTACAAAGACAGACACAAGCTGAGCAGGTGTGGGGAGGACTACACCCATGAATATGGAGATGCTTCTACATAACCATATTGCCAAATGAACACTCTGTTGGGACCCATCCCAGGGCCCCAAGTGTGGGAATGAGTGTCTTTTCTTCAAAATTATTATAATCCTGTTTATTGTATTTGAGGGTTTTTTTTTTTTACTTTTTGAAGGAAGTAGGGACTGGATGACCTTTCTTATACTTTTTACTACATCCTGAATTGACGAAGAGGAATGCATGCCTTAGGAATTTGAATTAACCAATCGGGTAAGGAAAAAGACTGTACGGTCTAAGCCCTAGCCAATGGGGTAAGACAAAGCCTTAAGACTTACATCAGAGATAAAACTTGAGTGGACTGTCCACTTGGTGTGCTCGCTGCCCTGCTCCTGTACAGCTACACACATGCATCCTTCTGCAGAAGTAAATTTTGCCTTGCCGAGGTAATTTAGTCTCACCGAGTTTCTTTTTGTGTGACATCGGGATTCATTTCTAACACAAGAAATAAGCTTCTCTAGCATCCTCAGAATGACCTCTGCCTCTGTCCCATGGGAATCCTTCACACTTCCCCACACCCTGCCCTGCCCTCTGTGCTCAGCCCCCGCCCTGCTGGGCTTGCTCAGACTGCCCACTTACTAGAGGCAGCTGGGCAGCAGCTGAGAAAGGCCTCTGGGGCCAGGAGTTGAACTAACCTGAAAGGCATAGGTATCATTGACCAGGGCATCCCCAAACACGAAGCTTGAGCCAGCCACTGTGTAGCTCAGGAAAATCTAGAAGGAGAAAAGGAAATAGAACACAGAAGCATGGTAAGGAAGGGAGCAGAGCGGGTCGAGGCTGGGAGCAGCTGGAGACTTGTTTACTTTCCCACTGCTCAGAGCCTGGTGCAGATGCCAAGCCTGCAGGTCTGCTTCTTCCCAAGGATGCAGTCCTTAGGTCCAGGGCCTTTCTCAGGGGATCAGTATTGTTGTTGTTGTTGTTAAGTGCCGTCAAGTCAGTTCCAACCCATAGCAACACTGTATAGAGCTTCTGAGGAGCAGTTGGTGAGCTTGAACCACTGACCTTGCAGTTCAAACCGACTTTGTAGTCTAGTACATTAACCCACAGTGCCACACCAGGACTCCCGGGGGCTCGGTACCACCTGGAAATACTTCTTCAGTCTTCCACTATGATTGCTTGCTCCCTCTGAGCGCTTTCTACAGAAAAGACACCTACCTATTAAGACATT